AAGTTGAAAAATAAAATACTTTCTCTTTCCCACATTCTTGAGTTAGAAAAATGTTCTAAAAGTGAGAAAGGGCCCCAGGAAAAAGATAGAATTCAGGACATTGTCAATAAGACATAGCCTTACTGTAAAGATCAAATCAACAGTGTAGTTACAAGATCCCTAATTTAACTCAGTGCCTTGTCAACCTTCTCAGCTAGACAAAACAGCTTGTAAGAATTTAAAAAGTATTGTTCCACAACACTCTGACTCAAAGCCTGCATTAGAGAGGGGCTTGTCTTGAAGAGATTTGTATGTGTCACTTTTTCACTTATAATTTGATTTCAGATTTAGACTTTGATACACAAGAAGCACACTAAATTTCTTAAAGTTTGTATCAGCTTGAACTAAAAAGTACATGGAAGGTGCAAAATGAAAAAAGGTAAGTTTTTAATTTTGTTCTCTGAGCCCTCAACTTGCTTTGCAAAAGGTAGACTGAGACAACTACGTGATGGCAAACATTAAAAATTTCTTGGGAACAAAGGAAATATGATTCAGAGGGTAGAGCCCAGAGCCCAGCAGACAAAAATATAAGCTATTAGAAGCAATGGATTAGGTAATCACTTCTATATAGCAAAACTGAACCCAAATCAAGAAACATTCCTTGCCTCCAGGTTAGGGGACACTGATAAGGTAAGCCTGGCTGTATTTCAGAATTTCTATTGGCTGCTGACTACTATGCGCCTTCATTTCTCCATGTTATAAATCAGTATCTAATGTGGTTATTCTGTTCTGTCTTAACACTATATTGCTGGGCATGGAAGTACAGATAACTTGCATTTTTGCTTCACAGTTCATATCAAAAGGAGCTGCATTTATGAAATTTCATGCACATCCATTTGATCCCAATGCAGATCAAGAGATATTGGGCATAGAATTTGATACAATTTGTTGAGACTTCAGGTATCTTTGGAGCCGTTGACTCTATGTGAATTTTTGTAGCCAGAGAGCAGACTGTGGGAGATGGTATGTAACTATGGTCAGTAAGAATTATTCATGCACTTGCCAGTTCTCTGACCAAGAGAGCACGTCTGTTTACCCACACCTTGAATCTGCATGGAACTTGTGATATTTTTGACAAGTTTAATGCAGCAGAAGTCGTATTCTTGGATTTTTGATCCCAGACATTCTAATGTCGTACGACTTCTTTTTTAGCTTCTAGAGGAAACAAGCAGCTAAATAAAGAATCCATGTAAAGAGAGAGCATGTGCAGGAAAAGAGGCCCCAGAGTGTAAGAGTCTATGAAGGGAGAGAGAGAGAGAGGATCAGCCAGGTCCCAGCCACTTCAGTCAAACATTTGGGAAACATGACATGCATACAAAGCTATCATGATTCTCCAGCCAATGCACATGCTGCAGAAATGAGCTTTCCCTTTTGAGCACTGCTTGAATTCCTGAACAACAGAATTCTGAGAGTTAAATGATTGTTTTAAGTCAACAGTGTGAAACACGTTGACTGTGTACTGGTTACCAAGTTGTTTGAGTCCAGTGAGAAAGAACACTCACATTCAAGTTCATGAAGCAGGCTTATTACTTACAGATAGTGAGCAAGGGACATCAGAAGCCTAGGATTCACTATGAACCAGTCCCCTCTCTATAGGCGGCAGAGGGGTGTCATACACCCATAACTAAGTACATGGTTTATTTTAAAGAGTGCAGTTTACTTTGCTGGGAATTAACAGCAAAGAAAAGAGAAGGTACTGACTTCCTGGTAATTGTAGAGTTTACAAAAAGTGAATTGATGACTGACATTAAGTAAATTATGTATCACAAAACAATGTCAAATAGATGAATAAACAAAATGACTGAGGAGTGACAGTGAGCAGGAGATTTGTGTCTCTATTAAGTAAAATAAAGATCATTTTCTTGCAAATGGTCTTTTAGGAAAACTTGACACAAGTGAACATGGATATTTTTGTCACTTCTTCCTTGAAACCATGCAAATATGCAACTGAAACACAAGGTATGATGCAGGTTAATAATACAAATCACCAAGCTCATTATTACTGAGAATCATAAAGATGCAGAGAGAGGAGGGCCTGGCGTGGTGGCTCACACCTGTAATCCCAGCACTTTGGGAGGCCCAGGCGGGTGGATCACGAGGTCAAGAGATCGAGACCATCCTGGTAAACATGGTGAAACCCCGTCTCTACTAAAAATCCAAAAAAATTAGCTGGGCATGGTGGTGCGTGCCTGTAATCCCAGTTACTCAGGAGGCTGAGGCAGGAGAATTGCCTGAACCCAGGAGGCGGAGGTTGCGGTGAGCCGAGATCACGCCATTGCACTTCAGCCTGGGTAACAAGAGTGAAACTCCGTCTCAAAAAAAAAAAAAAAAAAAAAAAAGATGCAGAGAGAACACACATCTTGACCAATCGGAACTACTTGGCATGGTTTTCACAGTTAAATATTCTAGTTCTATGACAAATAGATAAACTTTAATAATAAAATTATTTTATAGATTTGTCACTTGTATGAAATAATGCACCTATGCCTTCAATATTTCTTACTGATGAGCTCTTTTTTTTCTGTCAATATGTCATATTTCAGTTTTGACATTTTAAACCCTTTGGTTTGATGAGAGGTTTTTTCAGCCTGGAAAAATGCATGTGGTTGGATTCAGGAAGAGTAAGTGGTTTGTTCTTGGGTTCATTGGGAGGAAAATGATAGTGGTGAGAGATAAGAGGAGAACTACAAGAGGGATATCCTGTAGGCAGGTGTGTTTAGGAAAGAGAACCTATGGAGGGTAAGGATTTGGATTCTTAAAAATATACATTTAATAAGTTCAACTTTTATTTTAGATTCAGATACATGTGCAGGTTTTTTACACGGACATATTGTGTGATGCTGAGGTTGAGGGTATCAATGATCCCATCGCTCAAGTAGTGGGCATAGTACCCAGTAGGTAGACTTTCGGCCTCTTGCCTCCCTCCCCTCAACCCCTAGTAGTCTCCAGTGCCTATCCCCATGTTTATGTCCATGAGTATCGAACGCTTAGCTCCCACTTATAAGTGAGAACATGTGTTATTTGGTTTTCTGTTCTTGCCTTAATTCACTTAAGAACCTGGATTCTTTAAAGCCACCCCACACCCCAACTAAAGTCTCTTAGGGCAAATTTGCATGTACTCTGATATACCCAGACTCTTTTGAAGAGTGCTAATTTACATTATCTTACATTTGGTAATCAAGCTTTTTAATTGTTTATCCACAATGGGTTAACAGGCACTACACTGTCATAGCCTGCAGTGCTGATATATTCACTTCTGCCCAGGAAGGCTATTTTGTGTGATTCTCATTTTTGTGACTTTAAATTAGATGAGACTTCAAATTTACACATTTTCTTTCATCTCTCTGTGCTTTATTACATGGTTAAGTGCTTTAAGATTTATTGAATCCAGGTGTTTTATTTCTCAATAATCACCAGAACTCACCTAATTTGATTATGCCAATCTGTTATTTTCAAGAATTGTTTTTTAAAAATTTCGTTTCCCAGTTAATATTGTATTATGTGGCTTTCTTGATTTAAAAATATATTAAGAAATGTAATTTTATGAAAGATCATTTGAGAAAGTTTGCTGAAGCATTTTTTTTCCTTATGCTATAACAAAGCTTAATAACAAAGAATGTATTCTAGGGTAATATTTGGGGCAAATTCTAAAACACATTGCTTGCAGTGATCTCCACCCTTTTCTCATGAATACAAAGTAGTGTGTTTCTGTTTTTCTGGGCATAGAAGTGGATAGCACAATGACGTAACTCCTTATTCACAACATCATTGCAGCCCCACATTAAAAACATTTTTGTTTAAATAATGAGCATTTTTGCTCTTCCATAAAGAACCCACATGAGACACAAAAAAATACTTTTCCCAGATGGTCCTTTTTGCATTAAAATTACTAACCCAGACATCAAAAGCAAACAATAAAAGTGTTGAAATATGTAATTTGGGCCAAAACAACAGAGCCTTGAACTTCCATGGGCTTTGCAATTTTAAGAGAACAGCTGGGTGTGCGCAGGCAGTCAGCCCAGCTATGACTCTCAACCTCGTGTTTCTTTTTCTATATAGTCACTATGGGTACAGTTTCCTTCTTTTGGAAATGGAAGCATGGTTATAATCATTCTTGAACTTGAGAAAGGCATAGGCATTTTCATACCTTTTGTAAAGGGGGAATACCATTTTTAGTATTTATGGTGTAATCAGTTGTTTTCATTTTGCTATTCATTTGCCTTTTTGCTGGTAAAATAACCAGTATTTTTCTTGGGAAACTACCTGTTTCTTCACAAAATCAACCATAGGTGTTCCAGAAGACATATAGCCTAGATTTCAAGTCCTCTAGGAATCAGCCATATCTAATCTAATCACAACTTCAATCATTTTTTCAGGATACAGCTACAGAGCTGGAGGTACTGATCCAAGGAAGTTTCAGTATCAGCCATGCACTAAGTCCAGAATGAGTGCTTCCTCTGTCTGATTAAGGCCCTGACACTGAATTAGGGTCATCAATGCAGGCTCTTCTCCCTTATCGCAAATTCTGTCCCAGGACTTAATTGCCTTTGCTGGTCATCTCCACCAGGACTTTGGAGACCCATCAGGCCATTTTGACAACTCTGAACTTGAGAGTGGGAGTCTGAGTTAGACACTCACTCGAGGAGGGCTATGAGACTCCATCTACTCAAAGGGCCGGAGCCCTGGGGCTAGATCCCACAAAGATCCAATTATCTCTCCTTATCAGCTCACATGGATGGTTATTTTCTTTACATTTATATCACACAGGGGACTATTCTGGGATTCCCCCATCCACCCTGGAAAAGAAGCCAGGTCCAAAGATAAGCTGACTTCTCCATCATCAGAGAGAGAAAACTATCAACAAATTTTAAGGAAACCGTTACCAGTTGAAAAGAAAATAGTACTATATATACATATTTATAGTGCATCTTTAAAAGAATAGAGTATATATATTTAATTTTTAAACTATAATGATTGCTTCCTGCTCCTCTCCTCCTTCATGGGCTCCCCGTAGTCTTTGCAAGCTGGCCAGGATGTCTCAGGCTGAGTCTGAGAAAGCTGTGGAAGATGTTAAGCACCTTAAGATCAAACCAGGGGATGATGAGATGCTGTTCATCTATGGCCACTACAAACAAGCAACTGTGGGCAACGTAAATACAGAATGGCTTGGGATGTTGGACTTCAAGGGCAAGGCCAGGTGGGATGCCTGGAATGAGCTGAAAGGGACTACCAAGGAAGATGCCATGAAAGCTTATGTCAACAAAGTAGAAGAGTCCTTAAAGAAAAAACACGGAATGTAAGAGACTGGATTTGATTGCCAGCCGTGTGTTTATCCTAAGCTGAGACAATGCCTTGCTTTTTCTGATACTGAAGATGACGGAATTAGGCAAAATAACCAGTTAACCCAGCTCTTCAAGGCTGCTCACCACAGACCTCTAACAGATTAGGTGCTGAAATGATTACTGACCTTCCTTGAGTAGTTTTTATCTGAGATCAGTTAAAAGTGTATTTGTGGAAATTACTTTTTAAAAGCAAAAAAACAAACAAACAAAAAAAAGAAAAAATAAAAAAAAAGAAAAAAACAAAAAAGAAAAACTAAAAAAAATAAAAATAAAAAAATAAAAAACAAACAACAAAAAAAGTGTATTTGTGACTTAAAAAAATTATAACGAACAGAGGTTTTGGATAATTAAGGAGCAACCTCAACAAGTTTCTGAGATCCATTATTATAGAAGCATGGAGTAACAATAGGACATTTCGGCTAATAGAAGCCTGAACACAGGATCGTTTGTTGTATTTATTATGTATTAGCATGCACGTTGCAAGATCTTAAGAAATTCACTAAGTAGTTGTAACCTTTGCTTTCTAGGAATCTTGAATACGAAGTTAAAAGAATGGCCTTTTCATGATCATCCCAGTGTAAACCTGACACACCCCAGCATTAACATTCTTCCAGATGATATATGAATTTCCTTCCACTTTCACGGTGGGTATTGGAAGAGCAAAGAGTAGAAAACAACTTAGGGAATGCACAAACATGGAATTGGAATTTGTAAACCATATTCAGGAAGAGACAGTTTTGGCTAGAGCAATAGTTTTAATGGTTTAATGGTTTTTAGTGTTTTTTTTAAGGGTTCTGTTTAGACATTTCAGGATTCTTTGAACTTCCCACTGGCACATGGGGAGTGGGCATCAAGTGGATGGGGCTGTGATGTTCTTAGACACTACAATGAACTGAATGCTTACATTTCCCCCAAAACTTATATGTTCAAATCCGAACTCCAAATGTGATGGTATTAGGAGGTGAAGCCTTTGGAAAGTGATTAGATCATGAGGATGGAACCCTCATGAAAGGGACTAGTGCCCTAAAGTAACCCCAGTTAGCTCTCTGGTGCTCCTTCTGCCAGGTGAGGATGTAATGAGAAGGCAGCAGTCTGCAGCCTGGAAGAAAGCCCTCACCAGAACACAATCTTGCTGGTACCCTGTGTTAGTCTATTTTTGCATTGCTATAAAGAAATACCTGAGGCTAAGTGACTTAAAAAGAAAAGAGGTTTAATTGGCTCACAGTTCTGCAGGCTGTACAGATGCATGGTGCTGGCATCTGCTTCTGGTAAGGAACTCAGGAAGCTTACAATCATGGCAGAAGGCAAAGAGGGAGCTAGTGTTCTCATGTGTGAGAGTGCGAGCAACAGAGAGAGAGGTCCCAGACTCTTTTAAATAGCCAGGTCTCACATGAACTAACTGAGCGAGAAGTCATTTACTACCAAGGGATGGTGCTAAACCATTCCTGATAGTTTCGCCTCCATGATCCAGTCACCTCCCACCAGGCCCCACTTCCAAAATTGAGAATCACAGTTCAACATAGATTTGCAGGGCACAAACATTCAAACCATCTAATACCCTGACCTCGGACTTCCAGCCTCCAGATCAGAAGAAATAGATATCTGTTGTTTATAAACCCGCTAGGAGGCTGTCAACTTAGAACCTATCTTTTTGGAGTGACATTGAATACATTTTTCTCTTATCTAGAAGGATCTCTACAGTGAGTTGTTTCAGATATGTGGGATCTAGAACCAGACTGATGGATTCAAATTCTGCCCTGCCACTTACTTGTTCTACTGCCTTGAGTAAGTTAAATAACCTTTCTGTGCCTTAGTTTTCTCATCGGTAAAATGACATTAATATTAGAATTTCCCTCATAAGCTCATTATGAGAATTAATGCACTAATACAAGGATTGGCAATTTTTTTCTGTAAAGAACCAGATAATAAATAGTTTGGACTTTGTGGACTATGTAGTCTCTGTGGCAACTACTCAAGTATGCCCTTGTATTAAATAGAATGGAAGCAACCATAGATAATACCTGAATGACTTGATGTGGCTATGTTCCAATAAACCCTTACTTACAAAAACAGGCAGTGGGCTGAATTTGGCCTGCAGGATGTAGTTTGCCAATCCCTGGAATACCCATGTGCTAATACTTAGGCCCATTGTAAGAACTCCAAAAATATTAGCTTTTTAAAAAAAATTATCGTGGTCATTGTCATTATCGTCATATCTATTCACTCATTGAACAAAGGATAATAAATCCTGCTATGTGCTAATTTTACTGTGTAGTTCTCAGTGTTTTCGACTTTGCTGTCACTTCTATGCATTTTCCAGAGTCAGGGCTCAGGTTCTGAAACCTTCCACTAAAGTTCCTCTACCGGCAGAAGTAGTAAAACTTGATCCCATGGTTCTGGTGCTGGCAATAGTCCTAAATGCAGAATCTGCATTTCCAGTGTCAGATTTTATCTTAAAAATCCATTTAGTATTTGCATTTTATGCCATAGTATAGTTACGTTTCCTTTAATACAAAAAATGATGACTGAAACCATTCATCATTGAGTAAAACTGACCATGTTTAACAAGCATCTTCTGGTTTTCCATCACACGTACATTTACACAAATTTGAGAAATGAGGCCTATGATAACAGGAACTTAAGCTTTGAGGTACGTAGTTTTCTTAGGGTTTAATAGCCTTGGTATTCTATGTGGATATTAGATCTTTCTAAAACACAAAGAGGGGGAATAAAATTAGGCAACATAGACACCAAAAGTTCACTGAAAAACTTAGGGAACTCCATTCATTGTCTTTCACTTGGCAGGTGACAAAGTATGTGTCTGGGTCCTGCAGCTCTGATCTTACCCTCATGGCTCAGGAGCATTGATGACATACAGGAAATCAGCATGTGCCCATTAAGTAGTATAAAAAGTAAATTATGAATAAATAGTAAAGAGAATGTGTGTGAAAGAGATCATTATGAGCTGAAGCATATAAAAATTTCAATATTTGACCATTTGTGGCAGTTTCTATGGTTCATCCTAATACTTCTCCAAAGCTTGTTAACCAGCAATGTGCATAGCACTGGTTTTTAAGTGAAATAGTACCATTGTAGGTCATAATAAGAATAGCACTTTCGGCCGGGCGCGGTGGCTCAAGCCTGTAATCCCAGCACTTTGGGAGGCCGAGGCGGGTGGATCACGAGGTCAAGAGATCGAGACCATCCTGGTCAACATGGTGAAACCCCGTCTCTACTAAAAAAAATACAAAAAATTAGCTGGGCATAGTGGCGCGTACCTGTGATCCCAGCTACTCAGCAGGCTGAGGCAGGAGAATTGCCTGAGCCCAGGAGGCGGAGGCTGCGGTGAGCCGAGATCGCACCATTGCACTCCAGCCTGGGTAACAAGAGCGAAACTTCGTCTCAAAAAAAAAAAAAAAAAAAAAAAAAAAAAAAAAAAAAGAATAGCACTTTCAGACTCTGTTTAAAAAGTGCACCCAGAATAGAGAATGTGGAAATACAAAGCAAAATTTAGTGGTTAATGCTGAAAACAATCAGAACATTCTGTTTTTAGTAGCCTAAGGGTTTGAATTGTGATCAAGGTTCATAGTCAGAATCATTTCAGACATTTTTGAGAAATGATCATTGCGGGTGCTTCTTGATCCAGCAGGTGCTAAAAAATAAAACATCAGGACCAAAAGAGTTAGCCTTGAGCATGGCATGAAAACTCTTGGAAAGATGAAGTTCCCTGTGTTCTTCATGGCCGTAAGCAAAGTGCATTTATTCAACCATTTTATCAGTGTGAGGTGGAGAGAAAGCGGATGTTGTTTCACTCTTCCTTTGTTTTAATCAGTTGCCAGACAATGCTCTGAAGACATATGACAAATTTCTCTTAGCATCCCCATTTCCCTTAGTAGGCAGCTTAGCACCCACAGCAGACTTTTCAGACTCTAAACCAAGACGCATTCTTTCCTAACACTCCTTTAATTTCCAGTTTTTTTGTTTTTGTTTTTGAGATGGAGTCTTGCTCTGTCACTTAGGCTGTAGTGTAATGGCACAGTCTCAGCTCACTGCAACCTCCATTTCCTGGGTTCAAGTGACTCTCCTGGCTTAGCCTCTGGAGTAACTGGGATTATAGGCTCCTACCACCACGCCCGGCTAATTTTTGTATTTTTAGGAGAGATGGGGTTTCACCATGTTGGCCAGGCTGATCTTGAACTGACCTCCTGATCTGCCCAACTCAGCCTCCCAAAATGCTGGTATTACAGGCATGAGCCAAGTGCCTGGCCTTAATTTCCAGTTCTTTTTTTTTTTTTTTTTTTTTGAGACGGAGTTTCACTCTTGTTACCCAGGCTGGAGTACAATGGCACGATCTCGGCTCACCGCAACCTCCGCCTCCTGGGTTCAGGCAATTCTCCTGCCTCAGCCTCCTGAGTAGCTGGGATTACAGGCACGTGCCACCATGCCCAGCTACTTTTTTGTATTTTTTTAGTAGAGACGGGGTTTCACCATGTTGACCAGGATGGTCTCGATCTCTTGACCCTGTGATCCACCCGCCTCGGCCTTCCAAAGTGTTGGGATTACAGGCGTGAGCCACCATGCCTGGCCTAAATTCCAGTTCTTATCTCAAATCTTAAGTTTTATATAGGGATGAATAAACTGGTGATTAAACCACACAGATAGAGAAAGTAACCAAACTCAATAACACCATTGACATATGAAGAGTGTAAGTATGAAATATGCATGAAATTTTGCAAGTTAGGGTAGATCAGCACTATATGAGTCTTCAAGACAGTAAATTCCAGAGTCTAGATCTGGAGAAATAGCAGCTCAGAAGTGAGAATTTGGGTTATCAAGGAGGAAAGCAGAGCCTCTAAGCACATGTGAGTGTTTCTACCTGTGGATTGGCACACCTTATGTAGCCTTGGAGTTTAGATTTGCTGCCTTCATTCTGTCTTAGATTTAATGACTTGAAGCTTCAACTGACAAGGCTGGGGGAGAAAAACAAAACAGTTAAACCAATTTTAGAAGAAAATGTGAACAACTAGTTGACATTTTCTGATGGAAATAACTGTCAAGTTGACAAGAAACTTGGCCTTCCTCATATCAGAAATTTGATCCAAATGGAAAACATTTTCTAATCAGAATTCCTAAACATACATACACAGAAATTGAAAGGATAGTTTTAAAAACCCACGTATATTCAGTTTTCAAAATGTTTC